TGCGGTCGCATTTCACTGCTTAGAGAGTAGCTACATGGTAGGAGGAGAGACACACAGCAGCACTCAGTGATTATTAACCAGCAGCTTCTTCGATCATTAAGTAAAAGTTAGGAGACAGGTTGGTTAAAAAATTAGAGATGCCACCAAGAAATCAGTTCGTTAGACGTACAGAGCTTTTTCAGCTAAAAAAGGCAACAGATTTTAAGTTTTGACAAGTTGGTATTCTACATAAGAAGCTTGAGAAAACTTTATTTCTTCTTCTTGACTAGTTAAAAAAAATCTTGGCTTCTCAGAGGACCATGACTCACAGTTACAGGTTAAGATGTTTTTTTATAGTACAGACAGAATCAGACACCAGAGCTTCTACATATCTGGAAAATTTGTTTCTGGCCACATCATATTAGTACATAAGTTCATAAATCTTTTTAAACAGAGCACTGAGAGAAGTAGGGAGAGCTGCAGATTTAAAGGTGAAACAGATTTACTGGGATATGCAACATGCAATAAAATATATCTTACCAGAAACTCTACTAGAAGAAAATATGCTATGCTATATTTTAAATGCAGCATATCCAATTTTGTTCCGGATGGAATTGAAATTGTACTTCTAGGGATGCATGATATCGATTTTGGCATTGGAATCGGTCTCTCTTAAATCTATAGATATAAATATCAGTGTGTTGTGTTCTTGTGTTCTCAAAAATAGGAAAGCGTTCAACAAATAGATGTTTAAGCTCATTTTTGGAAAATTAGCCTAATAAAAGTCTAACTGTAGGTCCATTAGCCACCACCCGAGTGTCCCCACCAACTTTCATCACAAAGTTACACCCTCGCGGTGATGGTAGCCTGGACACCGGAAGCCCCGTGGCACCCTTACGCTGACCCCGACTCAGAATATGATCTCACTGTGTTTATCTGTATTTTCATTGCATTGTCCCTTAGAATATTCATCAAAGTTAATTTAAATACAACCATAAAACAAAAAAAATACCTCAAATATTTACCAACAGAAAGCAGAAAAAAAGTACCTAATGCACTTTTAACTACTTTATGGTGGTTTGCCCACCACCATAAAACCTCACAAGAAGAAGATCCATTTGGGAAAGGGGAAGGTAAATCAATAATTAAAAAGAAAGAAACAGAATTATGGCAAAAAAAAATGGAATGAAGATGAGAAAGGAAGATTATATAGGGTTAAAAAAAAAAAATAGCTGTTTTTATTTAATTTTAGATTTGTATTTTTCATTGTAGAATGCTAAGTGTTGTGTTTTTTTAGGTAGACAATTTTAAGATCTGTCCAAAAATAGCCTTTTGGCTAATTCTGGTGCATTTGCAGGAATGCTTTTTAATGTACACTGTCTCTGTCAAATAAATTAATTAATTAAGTCAAATTTTAGGGACAGATGGAAATAGGGAGTAAAATGTGTTTATTAATAAAGCATTGTTTTTATTTTTACATAACACAAATTAAAAAATATAACAGATGGAACTATAGAGCTACACACTCATGTACAATAGGTGGCGGTATGCACCTGTGAGTTGTTTGCAATCCGCCAATCTAACGAAGAAGAAGATCAACATTTCGTAGCACTACCGCCACCTACAGGTATGGAGTGTTGTTCTACTAATACATCCAGAGAAGCAAAAACTAAAAATTAACTAAGTATACAGGAGCTTACTAACATGGCCATAAGGATGACTTGGTTCATATTTTTCTAATTGAAAGCCTGTTTTCTCATATATTCCATCTTAGTGTCCAGGTTTATGCACCAAAAAAAAAAGCAAATAAATTAAACAAATAATTTACTTAATAATGTAATGTGACGCGTGGATGTTAAGACGTTTTTTTTTTTTTTTTTTTTTAATCAGAGCTGGGAAAAGCAGATAATCACCTTGAAAAGAGGAGCCCATCTGCTGACTCTGTGCTGGTTCTTCCATCTCTGCTGTCTTCCCCTTAAATCAGGGACCTTCTAATGTTTTCACACGTTTAGAGAAGAAAGTTTTCTCTCCTTATACTCCAGCAGATAAACACCACCCGTTTCCATTATGCTCCGTATTTGATTTTCTCTCATCTTCAGTGCCGATTGTTTGCTTAATGCTAACAGAATGAGCTAACAATAATAGCTTCTGCTGCTTCCGGTAGGACTTTAACATCAAAGTTTATATCTTATAATATCCCAAAGAAGTCAAAAACCACGACCATTTTCATAAAGGTTTGCGTGATTCGCTGAAGGTTAATTCAATATAGAAACTTCGCATAGAGATAATTGAAAAAGGTTTTCTTTCGATGGGTTCTGCGGTTGACAGATCGCGTCAGTTAGGGTATAATGGCCTTCAAAATAAAAGCTCCATAATCTTCTTCTTTTTTTTTCTATTACGAGAGATCGCAAGCAACTTTAAGGTGCACACCGCCACCTACTGTACATGAGTGTGTAGCAACCTTAAATCAAATTATATATTTTTTTTATTTTGTATTCTATAGATAAATAAATAATGCTTTCCTTAATTAGTGAATATCCTTTATATTTCATTCATTTCCCAATATTCCTTTAAGACTCCATTCTTTGCATGTCCTTCCAACCATTCTTCTCAATTTTTACCTTTCATGTTCATAAATTTTACATTTCATCAGTACATGTTCTACATTTTCTTTTTCTCCACATGAATATTTTCTAAAACTGCTTTGGAATCTGTACAGACCAGCACCTTGTCTGGTTTAACCTCCTCTACCCATTAAGCTTAGTATAACTGCCACCATTTCTGCTATAATCTCATGCCAATCCCACATTCTCAATTAGCACTGGCCGCCCCTAATCAGATTTATTCTGAACAGATAAATACTTTATCCATAATCTTGATTCAATATTAAATTTAAAAAAAGGAGTAGCAGTTTAAAAATCTATTGAAGCTCTCTAGGTTTAGTTAAATCCCTTTTTACATGTTTGAGATCAAATAAAAATATGAATAAAAAAGAGAGAAACTTTTTGAATTCCTTAATTTATACAAGCAACGAATTTTAGTATCTTTATTAAGCATGGTATGTATGTGCTCTTCAATTTACTTTTTAATTTTTATAAGAATAATTCATGTAAAACATTGAATTTTATAAAGAGCACTAAGAACACATAAAAAAAGGATTTAAACTAGTGTTGCGCCGATGCCATTTTTTGGCCCCGATACCGATACCCGATACCTGGCTGTACAGTATTGGCCGATACTGATACCATAATAATGTAGAATAATTGCCATCATGGCTTTGTCAAGCTGCTGCCTACCTTTGTGAAGCAGGAAAAAATCTAATACGAAGTGAATCCATTAGAACTTTTTAATAAAAAGTTCTACTGGATAATACAAATAAAAAGTTTTTATTGCCTACCTGGAGTGGGCGACAATAGCTGAATAAACTTATGGCTCTCAAAATGGTATCTGTGCCCTATTTGTTGGTACTTGCCGATACCGATACCACCATTTTAGGGCAGTATCGGCGCCCCGTCCGATACTGGTATCGGTATCGGTGCAACACTAATTTAAACAATCTTTTGGGGGAAAATTGTGTAAATAAAAATAGTAAAAACCAAGAGAAATACAAAAAAACTAAAAGAAATAAAAAATAATTATTTTTTTTAAAGAAAGATTTTCAATACAAAGCGCCATTAGCAGTTAAAGAACCAGCATTTAAAATTATTACATTATTATAAAATATGAAAAAGAGCTGAAGTAAAACAAAAACAATCAAAGATGTCAATATGTTGACAGCTGGTTGTTAACACAGGCTTCTGAACACACTTTATTGTATAACTGCAGGGTTTTCCAAACTAATATTTTATAGTTTTTCAGTCTTTTTTAAAGCCATTGCAAGAAACTGATGTTTAGTGCTTGTTTTATACAATAAGCCTTTACTGCCATCTGGTGGTGAGAAAAAAGAACACCAGTTAATACTGACCACAAAAATACTGAATACATGTAAAGAAAATGTTTTATAAGAAAACCTTTATTGTCCTTTAAGGGGGAAACTACTCAATAAAAAACCTTCACAGAAGGCTAAGTGCTTAAAGTTGTACAGAAGAATGAAAAAGTGAGACCTCTCAAATATGGGAAAAGTATTTTTTGTAGTTGTTAACAGGAAAAAGGGTTATTAGGTATATATAAATGGAAGGAAAATAGAAAAACAACAGCTATCTAACACAACTATAGAAAAAAATATGATTATAGAATAAAATTATTTAATGACAAATTCCCCCTTTAATTTCAATACTAAATCAAATTAAATATTTTTTTTTCAGAGACTTGAAGGCCTATTTTGTGTTGTTTGATCACATCGAGACTGCATTTGTTCTCATCTGTAAGTTTAGATATCAATTTATGATGATGAAGGTTGGACAGGAAACAATTATCAATAGCACATCCACCCTTGTGAACTATTTATCAGGTGAACATCTAAAACTACCTTCGAAATATTGCCCAGGATTTGAAACATTTATTTAAAAAAATAAGGATAATATTTAAATCAGTTTTTTTATATCATGCCAATTCACAACACATGTCATCTCAATGCAAACGAATGCAATCTCTCACACTAAGCATGCTTGTAGCGACAGTGGAGAGAAAAAACTCCCTATAAACAGAAATTTCACAGTGTGATTAAAACTAGTTTTAAGGGTTAATCTTACATAAAATAGATAAATCTTTGTTTAAATTCTACTTTGTTGTTTAATACACTACATGAATCTTTTTGCAGTGCACATTATTAATGAGATCAGCTCTAAATGACTATTATTCATAGGAAGTGTAACAAACGAGCAAATGGAAACATCTGGAAACAATTTTCTTTTAATGTTAAAACACATTTCCGATTTCGATCAAAGATCCCACTGGAGGGAAGAACATTAGCAATGAGACCTAGGTTGGTTTTGAGAGCTAAAATTACCACTGTTCAATACATGAATAAGACACAGAAAACAGGATTAACATGTCACTGAAAACACCTCCTGCACATAAATAAACATGAATATACAATCAAATAATCTGGATGTTTCTATCTTTAAATAGAAAATTAGCGTTAAATCTCAATTTATTTATTAATTGTGTGACAATATGGCCTGAAATTAAGCAGGAAATTTATTTATTTAAATATGACAGATTTTTTTTTTATTGCTTTTTTTTTGCAGTAGAACCATTGTAGCAAAAGAGATTGCTATTGGTCAGGAGCAGAGAGGAGCCAGGCAGAGTAACTGATTAGATGCTGGAATTTGATTAGAAGGCCATGATACATCTTTAAATGATGTTATATAAATATGTCGTGTTTTGCACAAAATGAGGATTTATTTAAATTTTACAATAAATATATATTGTTTTAAAACAAAATGAATCAACATTTCAACATTTAATTATTAGATTTACATTCTGCCACATAGAAATACTTAGATATCAAAAATTCTATTTGGATTTAGGCACTTTTGTCAGTTATTGTTTTGTTTTGTTTTTTTAAGATATAAAAAAAACACCCCCTTAAGGACTTTCAGTTTATTTTTCTGTCTGTTTTTTTTTTTTTTTTTTTTTAACCCTCTTAAGATTTTTTTTTTATTGGTGGTTGTATGTTCACTATCTGTGGGGGAAAAAGTCAGAACACAGCATATTTACAAAAGCTCAGCTCTTCCCAGATTCCGCTGCAAAAAAAAACTTAAAACTCTAGACTGTGTTTAGGATGAATGTTTTTCATCTGTATTGATTTTTGCTTGTGTCAAAAAAGTATGTTTCCATTTTAACGACTTACTGCAGACTGAGCAGCTGTAAGGTTTTTCTCCTATGAGACCCCTCATAAGACGAGTCAGAATTATAACTTGAAAGAAGCTCCGACCAAAAACAGAGCAGCTATAAGGCCTCTACCCACAGTGGGTTTTTTATGTGTTCTGCTAAAGTTTTTTTTTTTTTTTCAAAGCTGCGCCACAGATGGAGCAGTTGAACGGCCTTTTCTCTGAAAGGATTCTCATGTGATCCATCAAGGTTATTTTGAAAGTAAAGGTTTTGCTTCAGACAGAGCAGCTGTATGGTTTTTGATAGATCTGATGAGTCATGTGATAGGTTAGGCTGTCCTTCATGCCGAACTGTTGCCCACAAACAGAGCAGCGTGAGGGTTTCTTTTCAGTGTGGTGTCTCATGTGTCGCTTCACGCTTTCTCTACGGCTAAACTTTTTTCCACAAATACAGCAGGAGAAGGGTTGTTTTTCAGTATGACTCCTCATATGAGAAGTAACATGCATCTTCCTTCACAACCGTTGGCCGCTTTACGTATTCATGTGCTGCACCAACACATGCTTTTAAGAAAAAGATGCATTACAGACGGTGCTGCTAAAAGGCTTCTCTCCTGTGTGGACTCTGATGTGCCTCAAGAGATCAGACTTTTGGTTAAATAATTTACCACATTCAGTGCAGCTATGTACTGTAGCTTCTTAACCGACTCATATTTCAGACCTGTAACAGAAAATGTGGTATTAAGTTCGAATCCAATCCTGCTTTTGCTCCATATTTCCCCTCCAAGTTTCCATCACTGACATCCGTTTCTGAGAAACACATTTTTTTTGTTCTCCTCAGGCCAGCTATTATGATCCAGTTTGAGGATTCTTTTTTACGGAAGCCGAGAGCGGCCATGTCCCTCCCATACGTTTCTACAGTGGTTTTCCCAAGAACACGAGTTAATTAACAAAAGCTGTTTTTACGTGATAACAAGATGGTTAGTGTGTGTTAAAACTGATTACATCATTCAATACCACAACAGCGGGAGAGGTTTTATAAGTATAAGTCATGGCAGTCTTCTGTAAATCGGTCGCTAGTTTCTGCTTTCCAGACATCAAGTTTCTGACTGTTAACTGCAGGCAGTTCTATCTGCCCAGAGAGTTCAGTGTTGTTAGCAATACTGCTGTTTATGTGACTCCCAGTGCAAACACTAAAGAAGCCAAGAAGACTCTATACCAGACTATCTCTGAGCTCCAATCTGCACACAGCGGGTGTTTTCATCATTGCTGGGGATTTTAACCAGGCAAACTTGAAGACTGCTCTTTTGGCCAAATTTTTCATATGTAAATGTCGATTTCAAAAAGTTACCCCATCTTTCAATATTTTTATAAGTGAGATACTTTTATTAAAATAAGGACTAACCCATTGTAAAAACCCTAGAGCCCAATAAATGATGCAATATATTGAGAATTTACTTTAAAATTCAAGAGTCCTTTTGTGTTTTGTTTTTGTTCTTTTCATTTTATTTAATTGCTTTGTTCTACGATCTGATAGTTTTGTTTTCTAATTGTATATAGGTTCTCTATGT